CACACACACACACACACACACACACACACACACCCTGGAAATGTTAAGTGGAGTTTGGGTATGAACGGAAAAAAATGACTAAAGTTATGGAACAAGCAGCACAAATGTAGCAGCAGTATTTCTTACCCACTGGAAATAGGTTCCTCCAGCCTTTTATAATTATAACCACGAGATGGTCCTCTTTCTGAAGGCACACAAGTTTTCAGGAAGGTCCTTTCAGTAAGACGCAAGCACGCACATTTTGTCCTAGAAAGCAGACAGTAGATCTAGTGGAAATAAGGATATGAAATAAAGCAACATGGCCTGCTTACTCCCTGAATTCGGGTTTGATGATAACATTTTCAGAGGAAGCAAATATATTACTTAATTGCTTTCCTTGGTATATTTCATTTAGAAGTTTGATGGACTTTTTCACACATTTACATAATTTCATAGAACCATCTTAATGCTCCACTCCTATTCCACATGAAGGTGAAGAGCAATAACACAGGAAACTTTACGTGTTCCAGGGAAGATATTTCCTTAAGTTTAAAAACTAAGGCTAAGTTTAAAACTTAGTTTAAAAACTAAGACTTTCAACAAATAGTTCCTTTACAGTGCAAACTGACCTCTTCTCTTTAAATAGGACCTTTCAAGCGTCTGCAATATTTTGTAAACCAAAAATAATCAAGTGTCTATGTTTGATCTCAAATCTTGTAGAAGCCATATCCACCTTTAACAAGGTTATATTTAAAGAAACATACTCTTGGCAAATCTCATTGTGACAGGCATCGCCCCGCTCTGTTTCAGCACAACACAACACATACTTAAAATAAACGCTATTCAAAAAGCTGTTTAAAAATGGACAATTATACACCTGTCGATGCAGCCATCGGTGCAGCTGCAAGAGTCCAGAAAACTGCTGGAGAAGTTGTTCAAGAAGTATCCATGGGGCCAAGAGGTCTTCCGGTATTTAAAGTAAGGCAGTCGATCATGGTTGATATCATTACAGAATGACACTGGTACAGTCTCTGCCCCTTGGCTGATATCAGAATCAGAGACAAACGCCTGAGAACTAGGACTGCTTCGGAACACCTGCACGTAGGTATTGAAAGAAAAGTGGTCTAAAAATAAAAAGCTGCATTCTGTTTGAAATAAGTAATCCTGAACGTCTTTGAAATTTCTCAGGCTCCTTCCACAGGGAGCTTTGTATATCACATCATGTGATTTTGAGCCAGAGTCTGCTTTGCCATGCCACCTCTGGAAGTGACAGAGAAGCGGCAGCTTCAGGGGGCTTTCCCCTTTGTATGAATTCCATGGGCATTTGGAAAGACATTCCTTAGAACAGACATGGTCCTGGTAGGAGAACTTGGAAGATGTCTCTGCAGATTCTCCTTCGCTCCTTAAATACATTCCCTCATTAATCTCCAGTCTGCCGTTTATGGTCGTACATGTAAAAATTAAAAAAAGGCGTCAAGTGACCAGTGAGACAGTTAGGATTCGCTCAAACATAATATGGTTCGATGAACCTGGTGATTCGATCTCTCCATGTTTGAGGCAGGCTTCCTTTTTTATCCTAGCTTCACAGCAAGTGGGAATGTGTGTGGCAACTGCCTAGGCTGGTGTAAAAGCTCAGTGCAAAGGGATTCTGTTGGGGAAAGAGGTTCTGGATCTGCCAAACTGCTGGGGGTAAACAGGGAAAAGTGGGTGGCAGGGGAGATATTGCATTGGCATAGTTAGAGCAGTGTTTCTCAACCTTGGCCATTTTAAGATGTGTGAACTTCAACTCCCAGAATTCCCCGGCCAGCATGCTGGATTCAGCTGATGTATGCTAAAATCTGGACAGAGATACCGGATATTTATTATTCAGGCAGCTTTCACCATCAGTTATTTGCATTAAGCAAGCAGTACAATGACCTTAATCCAGTAATATTTACAAACTGAACTTTAAAATTTTTTTGTTAATCTATATAGTAATGGCCTCCACTTTTCATATTGTTAAGTTCCACTAATCTCTCTCTAGAAAACAACACCAAACACCAAACACCAAATAAAACAAAACAAAAACCGCCTGAATTCCACCAAGCTAGAAACAAATGATCTACATTTTCGATGCAAATATGTTTACAAGGATTCTCTTGTTACATTTATCAGTGATGGTAAGTTTTAAGGACATAAAAATTACAGGATTACTATTGATAGTAATGGCAAATTAATGAGCGAAAGCTAACCTGGGCTGAACAACTGCCTGTCTCTGTGGAATAGCCTACTTATCCACAAACCTGATCTGAGAACTATGCCTAAATAGGACGTTTGCTCTTGTAGGAGCAAACTTTGCCTAAAGCCACTGAATAGAACACATCCAAATAATGAGAGAGATAACTACTGTGAAAATATCATTTTATTCTGGAAGTAAGCCTGAGCAAGCCTTAGTTACTCCAATCCTGGACTGCTGGAAATGCTCTGTCAAGATGCTCAATTCCCATTCCGCGCTCCACAGGAAACCAGTGACTCTGCCCACCTTCCCTGCTGTCCTCTTTCTTTTGGGCTGTTTTCCTGGGTTGGGGAGGGAAGATGGGCCTTGCCTAGACTCCTGTGTACCATCAGAGGTGCATACAGCCACTGGTTGAGGAACAGTGCTACAGAGAATTGATCCAACTATGCTGACCTCAAGCCAGACGTATGCTGGTTGGACAACTCTGGCTTTCTTATAAACACTCCACAAATTCATCCACCAGGGACCATAAAATATTCAGCAATGCTTAGCTATGCAACATTAGTATCCAAAAGAAGTGGGGCTGGGTTTCATGTTCCCCCCCACCAAAAAAAAAAGAAGCAGCAGCCAAAAGAAGCCCCTTTGCAAAAAGTTCCTGGGCAGGGCTGGGCCTCCTGCTGTGAAACAAAAAAGAAACGCGAAGCCCAGCCCCGCCCAGGAGCTTTTTGCAAAGGGGCTTCAGGGACTGCTTTTGGCTTCTTTTTTTTCCTCCGCAGTGCAAAGCTCAGCCTTGCCCAGCCCAGCAGCCAGGCCGGGCACACCTCATCAGCAGCGGGAGCAAGAAGACGGTGAAGATCAGCTGAGGCGGTGGAGCACAGGGAGGCAGGGGTCCGGGAGTGCAGGATGGGAAGGGCGACTACGGCTGGGCTGGGGCAGCTGCAGCTTCCTAGAACATGGCAAGCAGCCCCAGAGCCACGTGGTTCTGGGGCTGCTTGCCATCCCGCAAGGCAGGGTGCAGGGTGGCCAGAAGGGCAGAGATGTGGGGGGAGTTGGAGGCAGTCCCTTACCTTACTGAGGCTTGGGGCTGGGAGGGATCAAGCCCAGAATGGTGTGGATTGAGATGGATAATTGCTTAATGTCCTGTGATTCTCGGTTAACAATGGCAATTGGGACTGCAGGGATTGCGGTCGCTAAGCAATGCTGTCACGTGATGTCTCACTTTACAACCGCATTGCTTAGCAATGGAAATTTTGGTCCCAATTGTGGTCATAAGTCAAGGACTACCTGTACAGAGTTTTACTTACAAAGAAAAGTCATCTCTAGCATCTTCTGTAATTTCACTGGGAGCAGACAGAGGTAAATCCAGATTGCATATCTGCGTATCTTCTTCAACAACAGGAAGAGGAACATAAAAACTTTAACTATACATTTAAAATTACAATTAAGATTTATCACAATTAAGCATTTAAGAAACTATTAACTGCACTATTAAAATTGAACTTAATGCAAATATAGAAATGTTAATCAGGCAAAAAGTATTTAAATGTTAATATATTACTGTAATATAATCTCTGTGCATCCATACTTCATAAGGTTCTTTTGTATTCAATATGATGTTGACAGCATGAATGCTAAAAATGAACTATGCATGATCTACCCTCATGCTTCCAGACCACGAAATACAGAGGAAGAGTTCACTTTTTCCTCCTCATCTCAGAGTTCATGAAATACACAGCCCACCTCCAGTGCACATATGTTAACCTGTCACCATCACCATTACAGAAAGCTGGAGGGTCCATGCAGAATGAAACTGTTATTGTAAAAATGTGGGGATCAGAGAGCAAACCCTGATGTCCCCATTCCAACTCCATAAAAACAGAATGGAGTCTGGTGGTTTTACCTATCTGAAGAACAGATTTTGTGCTGAATTTCTTTCAGTACTTTTAGACATCAAGCTTAGAGGCAAAGCATTCCTCTTATATTTGATACACCAGTAGGAGCACTTTTTGTCCTGTTTAAGTGACAAACAATGGATAAAGGCAGCTTTTAGTAAAACAGCAATGAGTATTAAACTAGGTAAACTAACACGAATTTGACTTCATAATATCCTGCTCACAGAGGTCCGTCAGCTAGTACAGTCCACAGACATGTATCACTGGAAAAGCAACTGTTTCACATGTAAAAGCCATCTCCAGTAAAAAGGTCAGGCAGTATGCTAGGGAAATTCTTCTGTCTAAAATCTGGAAAGCCTTGATAACACAGGATTAGACAACATATCATTCTGACCCAGTTTAGGGGAATTAATTATATGCCTTGCTACTGGGAACAGTGAATACTAAATTGACCCACTTCAGCTTTCTCAAAATTCTTACTAGAAAGCTTTTGGTCTGTCACAGTGAAATCTGTATTTGAGTCCCTCTTAAAACAGGACTATACCAGGTCTATGTTCAGTGAAAAATTAAAACCACAAATACCTATGGCATTGAATCTGCTGAATATAGGAAATCCAATATGGAGAGCACAGAATGGGAATCAGGCTTGAATTGGGTCTCTTTAACAAACCCCCTTATAAAAAAATCAGCCAAGAATCAATATTTAAGGAAAAGTAATTCCTCCACCTTTTCTTTTGGCTGGGTAGGAAGCTAATGCCCATAGAAAGGAATAAATATTGTCATCTGTCATAATGGAGCAATGAGATTTTTCATACCATGTGCCAGAGGTAAAAGGTCAGCCATACCCAAGTGATTCACAAGTGCCAAAGCTTGATTGCATTCTGTTTAAAATAACAAAAACAGAAAACTGCATTTAAATATTGCATTTTAAAATGACATAGATATTAATAAACAGGAAACTAGCCTCCTTTGGAACTTTTTAGCTGAAGCCCTCCATTCATTTTAAGACTGAACTGTGATTCTTAACTAAGTATAGAGCTATTACATGCTTAGTATCAAACACAGATACAAGTTCTGGAACAAAGAGGCTCCATATGTATGGAGGCATATTTTTTTTCAATTAATGTATTATTTTCATAGAATCAGAGCTGCAAGGAGCCATCAAGCTCAACAACTTGCTCACTGCAGAATCTAAATTAAAGCATTCCTAATAAAAACTAAGAGTGCCAGTTTGGTGTAGTGGTTAAGGCACCAAGCTAGAAACCCAGAGACCGGGAGTTCTAGTCCCACTTTAGGTGCAAAGCCAGCTGGGTGACCTTGGGCCATTCACTCTCCCTCAGCCCTGGGAAGGAGGTAAACCACTTCCAAAAATCCTTGCCAAGAAAACTGCAGGGACTTGGCCAGGCAGTTGCCAGGAGTCAACACTGACACAAAGGCACCCGCAAAAATAAATAAATAAACATAAAGACTAACCGGAATCCGATTAAATACACTGAATAAAGGGAGGCACCCTAAATCTCCAGCTAACTGATTCCGCACTTAAACTGATCTCTCTCCTCAGACAGCTGAAAACCACAGAAAAGAAAAGCTATTATTTTTTTAAAAAACCTTCTGGACAGACAATGGGGAAAACTATTTATCCTTTATTTAAGTATATTTACAACTTACTTGCAAAGGAGATAATGGTGGGGTAGTACTAGAAAGTTCAGAGACAAACTCTATAGGGACACTTTCCCAGATTGCAAAAGCCCTGTGTAAGTAGTGAGTTTATACCTCTCGCAGCCTACTCTGATTTTGTTCCCAACAGCCCGCTAGACAGGGAGAAAGGGATGAGAGAGAGGCAAGGCAGACAGGAGAAAGGGTGGCTCCATGCACACTGGCTTCAGCCTCCCCTCCCCATCACAGGCATGCAACTTCTTATGAATTATCCCACAGGAAATCAATGTGACCAACACCAGAAAAAATTATGCTCCCACCTCTGCTGCAAAACCTTCCCTTTCTTTGGGGATGGGGTGGTGGTGGCTGAACTTACTCAGGGAAAGATAAAAAGTGCTGTGCTTCTGCACTTCAAATGTATTCACAATGAATACAGTAGTAGAAATAAGATTTGCTTACTAAATTCAGCTGCAATCTCTGCACACCTGTGTCCAGTTCTAATCCAGACATTACATACAAAATTTGTTTGTTTGTTTATATTTCAAATTTAGATACTGTCCATCTCACAAAAAAGTGACTCTGGGCAGTTCACAATAAAACAGCAATAAATATTAATTAAAATACAATAAAAACAATATAAAATACAATAAAAATACAATAAAACAAACAAACATACACAAATAATATCTTCCAAGATGTTGATGATCAGTAAGATGTTAACATACGGGAGGATCTTCAAGGTGCTAGCCACCCCCAGGGTTGGTTGCCCCTTTCTTCGCCCCCAAATATTGCAAGTTTAATGAGTTAGCATAGCACAACTTTCTTTGTATCACTTATTGTACATGCAAAACTGAGTATGGGTTTGTTTCACTAATTTCTCAATTCAGGTGTGATAGTTTACATAGATGTCTAACCTTCACTTGTTGCAGTTCCATCCTTGATCTTCTGCTTCAAAGACAACAGGGCCTTCTGCATACGCTCAAATATATTGTCTACTTCATTTTTTTCCATGTGCTTCCAGAGCCTTTTTGCATCAGCTACAAACAAACAAAAAAATCCAGTTACGTTATTGGTGATACCAGATATCCTAGCCTCACTCCACTCCCCAGTATGGATTAGCATAAACACCTATGAATGTGGACTACATAAATAAGCATAGATTTAAAAAGAAGAGATGTAAGATACATTATATGTATAGTGCAGAGAAAAGAGATGTTTTTCTCCTTCGTGGAATACTACAATTCACAGCCATGCAACAGTGAAAAACAGTGGGAAATTCAAAATGATATAAGGTACTTTTTCAAAACATACATAAAATTATGGAATTTACTTGGGGGGGAGAGGATGTAGTATTCTAGTCCCATGGTTTTAACAGAAGATATTCAGAATGTATTAAAGATAGCATAAAAGTCATGTTTTAAAAAATAAAATAGAAGGCTATAAACCATTTCCATATCTGTGACTAAAATGCATGCATTTCTTGGATGTTATGTATGTTGCTAATCTTTGGTCAAAACAAACTGAATTAATATGTATGTAACATTTTAAAGGAAAGATTTATAAAAATAAATAAATTCATCGTCTCAAGCCCTCGGCCGTCGTCCCCCGCCCCCGCGCTCACCCCGCCCGCTACCTCGCATAGCTTCGGTTTTTCCGCGAAAGGCCTCGGCCCCGCACGCAAGCGCCGCCCCGGCTGGACTAAGCTCAGCACCACAAAACAGCAACGCCCGGAGCGCCACGTCACCAGCGACAAAGGAGAGAGGAAAAGACCCTG